CGGCACACCGTCGCTGCTGTTGGAGCCCGGCGGCCGCGGGAATGACCGACATCGCGTCGCGCACGAGAGCGGTAGCCGCGGGTGTGAGCTCGTCCAGATACAGCCGAGGCCACATGCGGCTCCTCGCGCGCTGCTCGCAGTCAAAAGGAATGCGCGTCATGCGCAGCGGGTGCTCGAGCAGCTCGTGCAGCGCGGCCAGCGGCGGGCTGCGCGCAGAGGCCGGCAGCGCTGATAGAAAGGCATGGAGAGCGCTTGGCGCTGCGATGCACTGGACGATGCTCATGAGCACGTGGTCCAAGTGCAAGACCGTCGGCGAGGCCACGGTCGGGCGCTTGCTGCTGCTCATCGAGCTTATGGTGCAGCGTGGTTGGGTGTTTTAAAACAGGCTCCCAATACAAATTGTTTTGGCCAATCGGGTTCGACCTAAGAGCTTCTCCACCCGTCCGCGCTATCTCTATCTGGCTCTTTATAATTTCAAAAATTTACCGGGAGAACGCCCCACCGGTCCCTGTAAATCGCCCTGTATCTGTATAATTTTTACAGGGTGGAGCAAAAATTGGCCGAGGTCCCTGCAAATTGGAGCGCGATGCGGGGCTCGCGGCCACTCTGGTTTTTTACCCTGTAAAACTCTAAATTACTTGCTGTTTGTATACTAGTCAAAAAATAGATACAAAATCGAATTTGAAGCCGAAGTTCGTAGTTATCGACGCCATACATTGCGCGACTCCCTGCATCTTTTTACAGGGCGACCGGTGGGGCATTTTTTTAATACCGCGCTGTATCCGGCGATACAGGGAGAAATCACACTGTAAAAAAACCAGAGCCAGAGCAGGATACCGGGTACCGGTGGAGATGCTCTAATGCTGCATTGGGTTGCTGCATCTGAACGCCCGCAACTCAACGCACGAAATTCAATTTCAATCTCAAAACCAGGGTCATTTTGCTCAAAACGCCTTCCCACCTGGCCAACCGTGACGAACATATCCTCATATGCAGTCATGTGCCTCATGTGCCTGAATTCCAGCACAGAGAGAGCTGCAAGGGTCGACTCTACCGGTTGTTTGAAACAACCTCGTCGCCGATGCCACGAGTCTGGAAAAATCTCGAGGTGGATCACCTCTTGGACGCTGTCCCAGTTCATTAGCGACCGCAGTATTAGGCCTAGCTGTGGCTGAGCAATGGGCTAGCATCCCATCATGTCGGATCCAACCGAGTCGTCATGCCCATATTCAACTACCAGCTGCGCGAGATCGCTCGTTCCTCGACCTCGTCCAACTCTGCGCCTGTGCCGTGTCGCCGGCGGTGTCCAGCAAGCCACCGACAACTCGTTGACGCCGCTGGGAGCCGTCGTTGGCGGCAATGTCCGGGGCGCGGGGGACAGCTAGCCGTACTCGACAGTTGGGCTGGAGATCTTCGACAAGAATGAAAGTTCAAGCGACAGCGGCCGACACCCGCTCGAGGGATGGTCGAGTCGCCGCTTTGTACGCTGGCATGCCGGCAGGTCATGCGGAAGATGCGGTCGAGGTCGACGCTTACCTGCTGCGGGCATCTCTGGATGGTCCAACAGCGTGGCGTCGCGTGGCGCTTGAGGAGGATTTTTGTGGCCACCACAATTCGTTCGTAAAGATGCAGTGTTCATGTCGGGTTTCTCCTGGCAACCATGAGGTAGACTTTGACGAGGCGAATCGAGCACTCTGCAGCTCTGTGCTCGATGCATTTTCTGGCAAAAGTTGGGCTTTCTTGAAGAACGCTATAACTTTTACGCGTTCATGATTGTGTCAAGGTTGTTAGCCTCGGGCTATGCTCATGGCGTAGCTTGTGCTCGTGCGCGGTTGCCTGCTTCTCGTGCACGGCCAGCGCCGCAGACCAAGCTTTCCGTGCTCCGAATC